CATCCATCCGATATTATCATGGCCAACTCCTTTTTTTTTTTTTGTTTATGGACAACTGTCCAATTCATAGAGCAACAAATGTCACCAGCCACTTGAGAAGGAAGAGGATACCCACCCTATTCATTCCCCCATATTCACCAGACATCAACATTATAGAGAATCTTTGGGCGATCTTGAAGAAGAGAGTCAAGAGAGAGCTGGCAAAGAACCCTGGAGTGGTCCTTTCCGACCTTGCCAATGAACAATGGGAGCTAATGGATGACAGCATTGTTGAGAACCTATACGCCTCCTTGCCACAACGAATGGAGGACATTATAACAGCGAATGGATGGTGGACCAAATATTGACAACCTCCTTTGTCATTATTCTAGTTCATCGTTCCGATACCTTCGATCAATTTTCGTTGCATAAATAATGGCCATGTTCACTACTTATCATTTCAACACTCTCATTCAATTATTTGTAAATAAATATAACTAGCAATAAGTAATTCAATCAAGATTAGTAGATAATTGAGTCTATTATTTAGAGAGATAAGATATCATTTGGTATCTCTTAATATTGAAGAGATATCAATCACCTATCTGTTTGCTCAGGGGGTGGCCATAACTTATGAAACGTACTGTACTTGAGATATCTTCRTTTAAAATAAAAAATTCTTTTTTTGTATAATATGGAGGCATAGACAGCTGAGTATTGAAGGAAAGTATACTAGTACMGTGTMTGACCATGTACTACCGGATTGGATAAGTTCAAAACCGAGCCTAAACCGGTATTCAATCAAAAAATTTTYCCGGTCTACCGACCGGGAGATTTTCCTCAAACCGTAACCGTACCGACCGGATTCCGTACTCTAATCTCGGAGATTTGACGAAATATTTGAGATTTGAAAGTGATGAAATTGTATCCTGGGACAATTCCCTTCAATAGCGTACTCAAGCTAAATAAAATAACTTATCTTAGTATTGTTTTGAATGTTATACAAGATTTCTTGTTAACTCTGGACAAATTTTAAAAACAGTTGCCCAATTGAATCACAATACATATTAAACTATGGGACTATGCCATCGATTGGAGTAAGTTAGGTACACCATGTTGTAAGTTAAAATAATATTCCTAATTTAATAGGTTTTAGTTTGATCAATAAGGATACCAAAATATGACTAACTAGTTCGATTAGAGTCGGTTAACAAATATCCAATAAGGGCTATCATATTGAATATTATAGTCTAAATAACAAATCTAATATTTAAAAATAATATTTTCAATTTTATAATGTTATTTTTCTTCAAGAGAAAGTTTGTATGGGATGGAAGTTCGAACAAATATACTTTTTCAAACAGTTAAAACTCATAGATACAAATATCCCACAAACAATACTGCTATCAGATACACCTACCATAATCATTTAATACTTTACACTTGTCTAAACAATATATTGGAAAAACAAATAAATATTATTAAACAATAATTAATTTTAATCAAAATTTCACAGTTGTTTGAATCACTTTGACAATGACTCAATAGACAAGTCATTAACAACTATGATACATATAACATTAGTACAAATACATACAGACAGTGGATCATTTGATTAAACAATAACATTGAAGCTTATACATCAACATCATCCACTTTATGTCATTGACATCCAGATTTACAACAACAACAACAGATGAAGGTCGATCTATCAACTCCTGACAATGTCATTCAACACCTCAACATAATATATCTTGTTAATTACTCCTCTTATCAACGCGAATCGATCAAGTTATCAATCATCGTCATTGAACAACATCACACCTGACATCATGCATGCCTTTCGAATGCGTCTCGACAAAACGATAATGCACCAACAATGTTCAACACATACGTTTGATACACCAACAGATTCAGTACATCTACAGGAATCGATCTATATTTAATATGTGACTGTTGAACCTATTCTTACAAGTTCAGCTTGCAGAGACATCTTTTCGCATTACACGCCAAGAGTCGCACTCCAACGGCCACCAACATCTCGATAACACCTACAATTGACATACCAACAGACTCAACACATCAAGGTGAATCGATAGATATATTGTACATCACTGCTGAAGCTATTCTTTAGCAATACATTCAACAACAGCCAGGATGCACTCACATTGTTGCATCAACTACGATCGTCGCACTCCACTGATCACCAACATCGTCCAACAAACACCTATGACACATCAACAGACTCTACCTATCAATAAGAAGCGATACATACTATATTCATTGTCGTTGGAGTAATCTTCATCAACTTTGGTCATCAACATTCAACTTCACAGGTAACAACCAAAACCTTGGACCGATCGTCGCACTTCCTCTTCTAACAATAACTAATACCAATCAAGATTATAGTATAGAAATACTCAACATATCAAGATGAAGCGATCAATATATTATACATCACTGTTGAGGTGATTCATAGGAATTACAGTCTKGRCAGCAAGAAACAACGACCAATACAGCCCGC